ACTGAGCTTTCACTATGTTAGCTATCAGCACACCCATTAAATCTAACTGGTTAGTTTGTCAAGCAGAAGGAAATACTGCAGTTTTAACTTAGAAGAAAATGTAAATCTGTATTTTACTGTCGTCAAAATACCTATTTTTAATTGTTTCTTCATATTTGGTGGCTCTTATTGAATTGCCAAAAGATTATTTTTGATAGATGGCTGCAATGATGGCTGCTTTTTTCATATACTCTCTTTGTGGCTGCTGGCTCATTTTGTTCAGTATTGAAATAAACATGAGTAATAAGACAAAACAACCTTTTTGTTTTCTAATGATAAGGGGTTGATTATCTTGTTATATATGTACTGTCCACCAGTACACGCCATAGTAAACTCATTTTTGTTACAGACACTAACACAGATAACTGAAGATCAATGTATTAGATTCTGCAGGTAGTGACTTTACCAGTAAAAGTGCAAGCCCAAGTAAAATTTGTACTGTTACATTGCAGTATGAGAATATATTTTCTGTTGTGACTGCAGGGAAGTCCAAGAATGATGTTTTTGTTTATATTGCATCTCTTCAGAGATATAACTATTATTTTGCATTTTAGTCAAATTTAACTATCTAACCTTTTAAGGAAAAAATTTAAATTTGAAAAAAAAAAATTGTATAACTGTTTTTGTACTGTATTATATCATCATAAATGTATTTAAATTCATCTTATCTGGGAGGTGGTTATTTATACAACATGTTGGTTTTATATACAGCTCATTAACCGGGTCACTGACTGATGTCATGTCGTGATCTCATCAAGCTCAACAAGGATATAACACACACTTGCACAGGTTTGAAAAGCAAAGTTCTGGTATTTTATTTCACTGGATTAAATTATGATACATCTGCATATTTACAAGTCTCTTACATCATCAGTGTGTATCTGCTGTACATATATTCCAGGCCCTGCTAGACAGGATAAATACATTATACATGATTTGATCAACTCAGAGGATTGATAGTCATTATGCAGAATAATGAGTTTAGAGGCTTTTAAGCTTTTGCAGTTTTCAGTGGTGTTTCAATATGAATAGCTGCTGATCTGTGTAATGTTTTATGTCTCACCATATTTGTAGTATCGCTGCAAATTCTGCATTTATAATAAACTGTTTTCTCTACATGGTAGGGCTGAAACACGGGGGAATGTTGCAAGCTGACCAAAATGTATTTATTATTGGTCCCATTGTCAAAAAAACAAAACATTATGTATTGTGGACCACACAGATAGCAGTGCTGGTGTGTCAACCTAAAGTAGAAATGAAAATACAATCAAGTTGGAAACTTAAAGGAAAATCAACAGGCTAGACGTCTTAGCTGTACTGGATGTCCTTAATTAATATTCACACTTTTGCTGGTGTGTAAACCCTCGGGCTGGTTGTGACATTGGCTGTTATTCGGCTTAAGACTTCATATACACACACATAGGAAGTTTTGAAATACTGTCGATAACATTCAGTTTCTAACCTTCCATTTTATTTCCAAACTTTCTACAAATGCCCCTGCAATTTGAATGCCACAGAAGATCTTAATAATATTACAAACATTCATTCTCTGAAGATTCAACATAAAGCCTTTACATTTAGCTGATAAAAAATGTGTTGTAACTCAATTAGCCTCTTTCCAAAGATTATTTATTAAGTAACAAAAGCTGAATACTGGGCCCCATTTCCCTACAAAGGACACAATTTATTGCTAAGAAAATTGTGCTAATGTTTTATACAGGAATTACCAGGCAACGTGTAATTAATCTGCTATTAAGGGCAGGCATATTTTGTTGTTATGATTTCAATTTAGCATTATATCTTAACTTTTCTTTTTATTTAAAAACAAGTTTTAAGATATTTTTCCAATGCAAAATAACTATCTTGACCCTTCTGGCCTACTATATAAACTAAGCTTTCAAGACTAAAATGACCCAAGATAACCTGTTGAAGTGGATATTTTGGTTTGGTTTGAAATGTATACCCTTATTAATTTAGCATTGTATCTTAAAATCTTATTTTTATTTGAAAACAAGTTTTAAGATAATTTTTTAAATACATTTTTCTAATGCAAATCAGCCTTTTTTTTCAAAGTACTTTATCTTGACCCTTCTGGCCTTCTATACATACTTAAAAATTGAAAGAAGGGAAGAAACTAAGCTTTCAAGACTAAAATGACTCCAGATGACCATTGACATTTAGAGCCTATAGCCTTATGTACTATCTGTTTAGTTGCTCTCCTAAAATCAATTTGGAGACTTCATACAGATTTCATGTTTACAACAAACTGCTGGTTATTGTAGGAAAGAAAATAAAGAGGAACAGAGCTGTACATAGATCAGTGTTGGATAATATGGCTACTAATAGCTGCACCATTAAGATAATTCATGTCTTTAAATATACTCCATATTTGCAATGTAATGTACATATATGATGCATTTAGTCAGTTGTTATTGTTCTAAAATGGCTTTAGAGATTGAGTGCATAAAAACAAACTAAACCTCTTATTTTTAGTAGTGTAATTTACACAATTATTGTGTATAACTTTTCCACAGGTGAGTTGTTGAAAAGTAACACAACAGCTTGATGTAAGTAGAATAAATATGTTGAGGATGACACAGCAGTTTAGGGGTAAATGTGAAGAGTTATGAAGGTGGGTGATAAAAATACACTTTAACATGTGAAGGTATCATGTGTTTAGTGACCAGCAGAGGGTGACACCAAAGGTATCATGATCACTTATCAGAGCATTAAAACATTTGAATATATTGTAAAAGTCTGGATGAAGATAATTTACTATATTTCCAGTTGAAAAAAGTCACACAGCAAAGCAGAAGATGGTTGAAATGAAAATCTGGGGGCAAATGAAAGACACAGAGTGAGAGGAAATGTGGGGCAGTAGACTAGGCCTCTTTGGTTTCCCATAAAGACCAGGAAATGACGCTGACCACTGACCTGAAACCTTTGAACTGTGTCTGGTAAACTCCTTCTGTTCTAACCAGAACCAGTCTCCAGGGCCAGGGGCTTGAATGGGCGGAATGCCAGAAAATAGAAATACAGATTCCCTTCTAGAGTTAAACATCAACATGGTGTTTCATATTTTATAAACACATTAAATATTTTCTCACTTACACCTAATTTTATTTGCTCAGTAAATTTATTATTAATATTAAATAAATAAATTTATATTTTATTGGTGGTTAAAGATGTATTGAGACAAATAATAGTCTGCTTGAAACAATAATGTGTGTCCGAAAGAAATGTATAATTTCTCCCACCAGTGTACAATCGCCTGTCTTTTATCTGATATGGAAGCTTCATAAGTTAGACTTATTATACTCCATTATACTATTACACATTTAAAATACATTACCTCTAAGTTTCACAGCTTTAAGGTTTGCAGAATTTAGTCTGTGGAAGTTTCATGTCTCTGTAGTCTCATTTAACATAAGGAACTCCCCTGACATGTACTGCTTGATAACACAATCAGTACAAAATCTATGGCTATACTTGGCATCTTAGTTGTCCTTTGTCATTGCTTTTCACTAAAGTAATGTTAAACGTGACAAAATAGGATAAGCAGAAATAAGTGTTGTGAATAATAAAACTTGTAAAAGCTGTATTAATATAACAATTCCAGAAAACTAAAATGACAGTCTGGGACTGAAGTGACTGGTATACAGGAAATGTAGTATATCTATCAGTGGAAGTACCTGAATACACTAGTATAACAATAATATTCTGGAACTGCTCTATAAGGTCACATAAAGGACTGCTGGCTGCAGGGCGGGCGGCAGTAGCTCAGTGTGTAGACTTGGCTTGGTAACCGGAGGGTCGCCGGTTCAAATCCCATAGACCACAAAATATGGAGTGTGG